AATAAAAAAATGTCTGCATTTACATTTGTTTTTTTTTTAATAAAAAACGTTGTTAACATTAAAAGTGAACATCAAGCAACATATTTAAATAATAATAAAATCCACCATAAAAATGTACCGAGCGCTATCGGCATACACAGTGCAGCTACATAAAGCGATAAAAAAATATATAGAGAAAATTATTTGATTGTTATATCATCGCCATATGCAAACCATCATGTTGCTCATCTATAAACTGCTAAATGTGGACAAATATGCATTGAGATAATATAAAAACAGTAACTATGCATTTCTGCAAAGCTGCTTTGAAACAATATATTGTGAAAAAGGCTTTAAAAAATAAAAATTGACTTGAGAAAAATTGTGACCATCTATAGATTGCAAAAAAAAAAATCATAAATAACAACATTAATAATAATAATACATTCATATTTTAAATATAATATAATATTTATTGATATATATTTTGATTAAGACAAAAATCATGTTTTCATTGTTAATTATTTAAAAAAGTGTTAAAAAGCAGAAATAGAATAAAACTGGTTACTGGACAACTAAGCAAAATAATAATCTGAATAAAGACAATATTTTGGAGAAATAATCTGTGTTGTGTTGGTCATAAAACAATATTGTTCAATCTCGAATCTTGGTAAGTGCTTCTCCCACTCTTTCTGATAAGGGCAATTCACCTGCACTTCAATTTGTCAGACACACAGGACCTAATTAAAGGGCTTCCTTTCATCTCATTAAAACAGGGAACTACCAAAGTGCTTAACGGGATGAAGTTACTGTAGATAAGAAACCCTCGAATGCAACTTGTGTTATCGCTATCCAAGAAAACTATTTCTAATTAACACACTAACTGGATGGTATCTTCGATGAACACTTTACGGATAATGGACCAGTTCTGAACTGGAAAACCCTGACCCAAATTTAGACACTTTGATGTCTTACACTAAGACAGATTTTCTTTCTTTATCAAAATTGAACTCGAGGTGAAGCACCAACTCTGTTCTTTCCACAGCTTTAGAGAAAGAGCCCGCAGGAGCCGCTCAAATCACACTGACCCCTGGCCCTTGGCTCTTTGGCGTGTGCGTGTCCAATCACTCAAGCAAGTGATAAGACCGCTGTGATTTCCTCCGTGTCTAGTCGGCTAGCGCTGAGATTAGGCCCAAAACTAATGATCCATCGTGAAGATCTGTGGCTGACCAGACAACACTTTGACTTACAGCCATGAAACAGACATTCTCTAAGGGAACAGGATAAAATACTACATTTCTCCGACATCCTAATCTAAGGTGGTCATTCATCACAGGTTTCAATGTCTCTCTGCCAAAATAGTCCTTTAGGGATTCCCAAAAATATGAGTCGGGGTGAAATTAAGTCAACATATTTGCCTCGAAATGTTCCTGTGACCTGTCTGCGCTGGACAGATCTTCCATCGGACATGAAGAAGACTTGTGTGTGATGGCAAGTGAACACATTTTCTGAATACTTGAATCTTTAGGGGTCTAATGATCAAACTGACAGACTAATCATTTTTTCTTGCATTACTAGGGAGGGCGAATTCAATATCCTGTCCAGATGCTCCTAAACCAGAGCGTATAAACATGAACCCTGAGAATTTGGCTACAAGAGAGTGCAGCAGGCCTGTCTAAAGATGATAAACTTTAAGGTCAGTTAACTCAGATGATCCCATCCAACTCATCTTGCATTTCTATGGAATGTATCTACAGCAGTCTGCTGGGATGTTTTGCCCAAAATGTGATATCAATAATAGGCTATGTATGCATGTGGATCACTGCACCTGAGTCTAAGGTGAGTATTATGACTCAGTAAGACTAGGTTTGTTTCTTAGTTTCAAAAGAAACTCAGTCAACATTGCAATGAGGGTACAAAGTTCATCTAGATTTCTTCCTCATGCCATGAGAAACATTCTTTAACATAGGCTTGGCTGAGACAGATTGTGCACATTGCAAAAATATTCAATGACTCATTAATTATAGGGGGATCTTTGTAAACAAACATAAACTCAAGTATTTCAGAGTGACTGAAGGAAGAGTGCAAGAAGAAAAAGCAGGCCAGCACATTCCATTGATCTCCTACTTTATTATAGCGTCTGTATGTCTACATTAGTATCCCTATTAATATCAGTATTATATATGGCTTTAGATATATTTAACTGTAGTTAAACCATCTATAGCTTTGTCAGTCAACACTGTTACCATAATTGTGTGGACAGGTTATGCATCAACAGTTAAAATCATTATTTCCCCTTGTTAAAAACAATGTTAAATTCCATAAATTCCAAAAATCATGCTCTTTAAGAACATCAAAGACACTTTACCTTCTAAATTGCTTTATTAATTTTGTCAGTAATGGACTCAATAATCAGTCAACTTTGTTACCATTAAATTTGTACAGTAAACAAATTATTAGTGAGAAATTTAATATATATCAAATTCTTTCTAATAAACATATTGTAGTTAGATGTAGAGTAAAACTGTCAACCCTGTTACTTTTCATAGCCAGAACCCAACATATATTAAGACGTTATTATTTTGAGATTTCAAGAAAATATGATTGTCCCATTCCATATAATGACCCATATACTATACTAAACACAACTATAGAAACAAATATTCTAAGACAGAGTTTTACATAATTTATAACGCTGATACAGTGTTATCCAAGTAGGTTCAGGACAGGAGGTCGCATTAGCGAATGTCATATAGGCTATAATTCCGGCAAATATACGCATTCGTTACTCACAGTGTTAAAGTTCTGCCTAAACAAAACACAACATCAACTCAGAATACGTTTCTTTAATAGCAGTAGCCAAGTCTTTGAACTGGTGTCTAATGCCTTATGTGTGTAACTATTAACACATTGCATTTGACTCTCTATAGCAAATCTTTGCACACCACCGTTAATGCAGTCATTATTATTCTACATAGAACTCACCTTACGTGCGTATCTTCATACTGGAGCTGACACTTAAGACAAATTAAACCAAGCTGCGATTCAAAGCGAGCAGTTTTCTGGGTTTAAACGCAGTGAAGAGGAAAATTCCGCAAACTGAGCTCTTGTCCGAAAGATACAGTAAAAACAGTGATATATCCGGAAGCCGCGCGCACTTGAATACAGTTGTCACGCGCAAATTGAGGGGAACCTCACAAATCCACCTTCCGAAAATCTTTCCGGTTTATGTTTTTTTGTAGTCGCAGATGCCAGTAATCCAAATAGATGGAGCGAGCGGTGTGTGCTCGGGAAAGCTGCAAATCTCGTCGACTGCGCGCCGTCAAAGGCAGAAAGTTTCCTCTCCGCAAACATTGACTGACGCCGAGTTTTTCCACAGAGGAGCGAGTCGAGAGACTGTAATGTCAGCCTCAGGAAGCGATGACGCGCGTGCTTCAGGCTCGCTACCGCTGCACGAGATTGTGGCGCCCTCGGCCGACTGTGCTTAACATCGTTTACGAAATGTCGAAATGGGTACAAAAATAGGTCTGAAACTCCAAAAAATTTTTAAGTCCTTTCCTTTTTCTTTTTCAACAAATGGGCGGTAAAAGTAGGTGCAGATAATGTTAATCAGTAGTTCAAATTAAATTATGACTGCAGATATTGGAAACATCATACAGTAATATACTATAAAATAATAGTAGGCCTAGTCAATTAGCCTACTGTAATTTTATGATGTTTCCAATGTTATTTTCGACTAATTTTAGAATAATTGTATGAGGTTTGAAAATATGTCAAACATATGTGGCATGTCGAAAAAGTTTAAAACCCTGATCTATGTGATTTTGCACGTTTAAAGGGAACCTATTATGCCCCTGTTTACAAGATGTAATATAAGTCTCATGTCTCATATTTTTATGTAAAGTGCTTTGAGATGCTACTTTTAAAGGCACTATATAAAATAAAGATTATTATTATTATTATTGTTATGTGTCCCCAAGTTTTTTTGAATTTTTGAGTGGAAGGAAAAACAGGAAAAACAATGAACTGCTGCTCCCCACCTCCCTATCCAGAAGAGAGCGGAGCCTTGACAGCCCGTGCCTCGGATACCATCATCATCTATCGCTCACACGACATTGCAGTAATTCATCATCATGAAAGTTTATTATCTGCATATGTTTTAAAGCCATATCAGTCTAAACTTCTGATATAGGCCTATGCTTTTCTGAGCGCACACATCCAAAGCACGTGCACAGAACGGCACGTCCCGGGAGTAATAAACTAAGTTCACTTTTACATCTTATTGCGCTTAAACTGTCAAGTACACACAAGGTTATGTTAAACAAAGTTCCCATAAACACAGTCGGTTTCTTATGTGAACGTAAACAGCAAGTAAAGAAATCGCATGTGTATATTAGATCATCTGTGTATTAAAGTGAAAGCAGCATAATATAGCCTGTAGGCCTACCTACTGCTATATTTGCTTTAATATGAATCAAACAACAAAAGAAAAATAGAAAATAACCCACTTCTCTTGATTGAAATGTAGCTTTAGTAGCTATATTAAGAATACATTTCTTGAATGCTGCTGTTAAATGCTCTGGTGAGGAGATAAACACGGCAGTCACATAGGATCTGCAAAAGGCTTGCTCTGCTTATGATTTATGGTAATTAAAAAAAGAGGAGTGGGTGGATTTATACCATTATAGGATGGTTGTGCACACACACTGCCGACACACATTTATGTTCAAACACCATGTAAAAGTGAATTTTGCATAATAGGTTTATTAGCCTAACATAAACATCAAAATTTAGATGGTTGCATACAAAATGTAGAACACAGTGAAATATTACAAATTTTAGGCATTAAAAGTAGTAAATAATTTAAAATACTTTTACTACAATTATATAGATAGATAGATGTTTGAGGAACTCCACATGTGTACTTCATCACCCATAATTCCACACGATGACGTCAGAACGCACTAGCCAATGATAACCAGTGTGACCAGAGAAGCAAGGTTCACCAGGAAACATCATCAGAAATGTAGAGCATAGTTCACACATCAGTGACTGTTTGCCATATGTGTATATCTCAATAAACGGTAATCCTTTTATTTTCTTCGTGTCCATATTTTCGTCATTAAAAATGCACAGAGTGCAGGTTTTGTCGGGACATCTGTCGTCAAATAAACGCGTTGGAATGAGGCAGTGCAGCGCATCAGCTGCTGATCCAAATGATATCGTTGTGGTTCATGGGCTCCGAACAGCCATCGGCCGGGCGAAGAGAGGATCTTTTAAGGTGGGCCTGTATGACTGCTTGACAGTGACACTCACTGCATTCTCTATTAAAGTGCGTCTACATATATAATATTTCTACATTTTAGGACACTACCCCAGATGAGCTGCTCAGTGCAGTGATGAGTGCAGTTCTTAAGGATGTGGGACTGCTACCCTCTTTACTAGGGGATGTTTGTGTTGGTAAGTCAGATGACAGCCAGTCTGAGCAAAACATATAAGTTATAATACATCATATATGAAGAGTAACTACACTTACTGACTGCTGTTTTTCAGGTAATGTTCTACAACCAGGGGCAGGTGCACTTATGGCTCGAATCGGACAATTTTTAAGGTAAAATGAGCAAAGAATTCCTAATAAATCAAGATATTGCTAAACATAGGAATTGACTGTAAAATTCGAGAGTTTGTTCAACTTTCAGTGGCTTCCCAGAGTCTGTACCGGTCTACACTGTAAACAGGCAGTGCTCTTCTGGACTACAAGCTCTTTTTAATGTTGCGGGTAAGAATTACATTTGATTTAAGCAGTAAAAATGGCACATTTTGGGCTGCAGCATAAGAAAATACAAGATTACAGTTAAAACAGGCGTTTTTCTGCATTTTAAGGTGGAATCAGAGGAGGTTCATATGACCTGGGACTTGCCTGTGGGTTAGTATGCCACATTTGTAATAAATTGTTGATCATACTATAGTATTAATCATTGTGTAGGATACTTATTTTTACATTTGTTTGTTGTGTTTTTTATTTTTTTTATAGTGTTATCAAATGTTATTTTTTTAATTGTGTGAATGTATTCAGTACACTACCGGTCAAAAGTTTGGAATAATTAAAGGTGGTTTTTTTTATGTTTTTGAAAGAAGTCTCTTATGCTCACCAAGACTGCATTTATTTAATCAAATATTATGAAATCTTATTACATTTTAAAAGAACTGTTTTCTATTTTAATACATTATAAAATGTAATCTATTTCTGTGATGGTAAAGCTGAATTTTCAGCATCATTACTCCAGTCTTCAGTGTCACATGATCCTTCAAAAATCATTCTAATATGCTGATTTGCTGTTCAATTATTATCAATTATTGTTGGTGCTCATATATTATTAACAGTTTTTATTATTATCATCAATGTTGAATACAGCTTTTGCGGCTTAATATTTTGTGGAAACCATGCCACATTTAAAAAAAAAAAATGTTTTGTAACATTATAAATGACTGTACTATTACTTTTGATCAATTAAATGCATCCTTGCTGAATAAAAGTATTTAAAAAAAATATATACTGACACCAAACTTTTGATTGGTAGTGTATCACAGTTTCCAAACAAATATTTAGAAGCAAAAACGGTTTTCATGATTTATAATAAAAAATGTTTATTGAGCAGCAAATCAGCATTTTAGTATAAATTCAGTATAAAAGGATCATGTGACACTAAAGACTGGAGTAATGATGCTGAAAATTCAGCTTTGACATCACAGGAATAATGACATTTTAAACTATAATAAAATAGAAAAGTTCTTTTAAATTGTATTAATAATTCACATTACTGTTTTTATTGCATGTTTGATCAAATAAATGCTGCCTTGGTTAGTATAAGAGACTTATTTCACAAAGATTTTAAAAAATCTTAATTATTAACTTTAGACTGGTAGTTCATGTCTTTAAATGATTGAATCTGAATCGTATCTTCTTGCTCTTTCATGACAGTGTGGAGAGCATGTCCCTTCGTTCGCCAGGGGACCCAGGAGACATCAGCCCCCGACTGATGGACAATGAGAAAGCCAGTGACTGCATCATTCCCATGGGGTATAGATGTAATTCTTTTATACTGTGTTTTAATATTTACATTAAAATAAAAACATTATTTCCTCTGTTTTCTGTATGTTTCCTTTCAGAATAACCTCAGAGAATGTTGCCGAGAGGTATGGCATCACTAGAGAAAAACAGGACAGCTTTGCACTCAGTTCCCAACAAAAGTAGGTGCTCCCATGATGTTTATGAATGGTTTATATATCCCAGCTGTTAGTATTTTGCACACAAAAAAAATGCAGTACCAATTGTTTGTGGACTTTTATAACACTAGGGCAGCCATGGCGCAGAAAAAGGGCTTATTTGATCAAGAGATCACACCAGTCACTACTAAATTTGTGGAAGAAAATGGCACTGAGCGCAGGATTACTGTCACAAAGGATGATGGGATCCGGCCTGGGACTACCTTAGGAGGCCTTGCCAAACTGCGACCAGCATTCAAGGAAACCGGCAGCACCACAGCTGGTTTGCACGCAGAATTTTTGTGAAAAAAAAAAAAAGGATGGTAAATTCCATTACTCAATTCTTTCATTCCCATTGCAGGTAATGCCAGTCAGGTGAGTGACGGTGCTGCGGCAGTGCTCATTGGGCGGAGATCAACGGTGGAGAAACTGGGACTTCCTGTTTTTGGGGTGCTGAGGGCGAGTGCTGTGGTGGGTGTTCCACCGGACGTAATGGGCATCGGCCCAGCCTATGCTATCCCAGAAGCCCTCCACCAGGCTGGTGAGAGTACAGCTGCTCTTACTGTACCTCTACGTTCATTTGAGCCATTTATATACCAGTAGTAATCATGCTTGAAAAATTTATTGGAATCGATTTTCCATTTTCATTATTCCAAAATAATGGTTGTAAATGAGCCGTGTTATTGCATTTGCTTGTGCAGGGCTAACTGTGGATGATATTGATGTGTTTGAGATCAACGAAGCATTTGCCAGTCAGGTGACTGATACATTTTCTTGGATTACCCCCAGTTTTTCCAGTATATTCCTTTTATTAATATCAGCAACTTTCACAATTATCCTAGGCTGTGTATTGTGTGGAAAAGCTGGGCATTCCTATGGAGAAAGTGAATCCTAATGGAGGGGCCATTGCTCTGGGTCATCCACTGGGCTGCACTGGTGCTCGACAGGTCGTGACTTTGCTCAATGAGCTCAAACGCAGACGCAAGAGGTGAACGGACATAAAACATCATACCGTAGGGTCCTATGTTTTCCATCATTTTTTTTTCCAAATCCCATTTTTTACCCATAAAATCCATAAAAAAGATTCCGTTACACATTATGACTGCATTCGCGGTTCCATCTACGTTTTCCACAACGTGGAAATCATAGGGCCTTAATACAGCTATAAGTATTAGTAACTATAATACAGCAACAGAAAAGATGACAATCCCTTTTCCCATTTCTAATGTTTTTTGTTGCAGAGGGTATGGCGTGGTGTCCATGTGCATTGGGACTGGAATGGGAGCGGCTGCAGTTTTCGAGTACCCTGGACCGTGATGAAAGCCCTAGAGCAAAATCCCAAGATGCAATGACACGCAGAGAAACTAACAGTCACCAATTACTTTTAATCAAGCTGCTAGAACACTAACTATAGAGCGCAAGCAGAAAGAGAGAGCACACTTCTTATGTAGTGTGCTTCAGTGGGTGTTTGCCTTACTCTTGAGGATGTTAATGATAACATTCAGATCTCTCTTTAAAGTGCCTTGCATTTCAACTGTGATAACAGATCATGAAAATAGACATGCCATTATCTGTAAGATCTATCAGAATAACAACTTATATCTCTTGATTTGTGCCATTAATTTGATGGTCTTTTCTTCTGATATGGATACAGAAATATGTTTTTTTTATAATCTGTGTTGAGGACCAGTGTAATTCATAAAGATTTGTAATGCATCTCATTTATTTGAATAAAAATGATTTGTTATGTATAAAGGTTTGTGTTTCAAAAGCTAGGTTCACTACTGTTTCATTTTGGGGTTAGTACCATTTTTAAAAGAAATGAATACTTTTATTCAGCAACGATAGATTAAATTGATCAAAAGTGACAGTAAACTTAGACATTTATAATGTTACAAAACATTGCTATTTCAAGTAAATGCTGTTCTTTTGAACTTTATTCAAAGAATCCTAAAAAGTTTAATGGTTTCCACAAAACTATTAAGCAGCTCAACTGTTTTCAACTTTGATAATAATATGAAATGTTTCTTGAGCAGCAAATCAGCATATTAGAATGATTTCTGAAGGATCATGTGACATTGAAGACTTGAGTAATGAAGCTGAAAATTCAGCTGTCACCACAGGAATAAATTACATTTAAAAAAAATATTCAAATAGAAAACCGTTATTTTGAATTGTAATAATATTTCACAATATTACTGTTTTTACTGTATATGATCAAATAAATAGTGTTAGTGATAATAAGAGAAAAAACTTGCTGGTAATTTATGTGTGAAATCACTCTTTAACAACAACCTGACCTTTGATCCTTGATTTGCAAATATACAGTAGGCCATTGGAAATTTGCTTATGTTCTTATGTTGGTCTTTAATCTGTTTTATAATTAAAAGAATAAAAAAATCACAAATACAATATTTTAAGTACACTGAGTGCAGTGTCTAATCAAACCGTTGAATGTCTATAAAGAAAGAAAGAGATATTTTTTGTTTATCTGGTCTTATGTGTAACTCAGTGTTGTATTGTCAGGTGTCAGATATTGGAGATACAAAACTCTCATTAAATGATCCACTTCCAATGATCTTAAGAACAAGTGGCGTCTCTCCAAGAACCCCCTGCACTGTGATGATTGTCTGGAACTCTTTCTGCTCACTATGGGGAAAAATACTGTTAGTATAAATTTTAAGAAAGACTGTATTAGGTTTATTCAATTACTGGCCTGCATCTGATTAAACAAATACAGTTATATAGTACAGTATTCCTGAACTTTGAACTTTCAAACTCACCCTAAGCTGAGGTATAACTTCATTCATTGCAGAATATGATACATTTCTTGAATTAAGTATTTTTTCTACAACGTGATTGGTTGCGAGTATCAGGTAAGGTGGACTATACCTTGCAGTGAAGCTGATCTGCAGCAGCTGCTTACAGGACGGTGGATCCCCAAGAGGTTTCAACACACCAGAGTCTGGACTCACCCTGAACACTTTATTGTCACCTTCGGCATCTAGACACAAAACAAAACATGAGCTCAACTAGATACAAGGTAATTACCATGATCGTAAAAATCACATGATAAAAGATAGAATTAAAGGTGCAATATGTTATTACTGCAAGTTTGTCAATGCTAATGCATACTGTACATAGTCATTCCACTCCAATGCCAAATCATTTCACCTGTAAGTGCGCTCCAGTAGCTACAGGAGCCACCTCTGTTGTAGAGGTTGACCTCTTTGACAGTTGTTTGTCCAACGTAGCAGGTGCCAAAATCCACAGTGGTGCTGGACAGGTGCAGTGTCGGTAATGCCAGATGAGCATGAAGGGACACTGTCTGAAAGACAACAGTATTTACAACATGGTTACATGTAGATGAATTTGACATCAAGACATTATGGCCTGGTTTCACAGACAGGGTTTAGATTAAGCCAGGATTAGGCCTTAGTTCAATTAGGGTATTTAAGTAGCTTTTATAAACGTGCCCTAGAAAAAAAAACATTACTGGTGTGCATCTTGAGACAAAACAATGGCATTGACATATTTTGAGATATGCCAGTGCAAGTTGATTTCTGTTAAAACACCTCAACATGTATTTTAGTCTGGGACTAGGTTTAAGCCTTGTCTGTGAAACCACAGGATTCATTATTTTTTATTATTAAAAAATTAAAAGTCCAAATTTGACTTATTTGCTGTAAATACTGGTTTGAAATGAGGCTATTGTTCTAGGACAATATAACTCCCACAAGATGGGGATGAGATGGAGGTGATGGTGCTTTGTGCACCTCACAAAGTGCATTTTTTCTGAGACTAAATCATTTTAGATATTTAAAGGAAGCAAATTAAGCCTGTGTAGAGACCTGTATGCTGTTATTGCTGTACTGAATGGTCAGACTTTGCTTAAACTGTAGTGTCCTTTCTCCAACATCACTGCACAGAAGGGTAGCAGAGAGCTGAGCATCTGATTCCTCACATGGTTCATTCAGACAGGTCAGAAGCGAAGCTGAATTATGGAAAGCCACCTTAACCTGCAAAATTAAAAGATCATTGAAACCATTTCTGGATCAGACTGACAAATGTTGAGGGATTTAGCACCTGTAAATAATATGGTGCTAAATGAGTAGAAAAACAATCAGTGCATCCGAAATCTTATGCTTCCTTACTATATAGTATGCGAAAAACAGTAGGTACCCAGATGACCTACTACTTCCACCAAGATTCTGAAATGCGTATTCGATGCATTCTTGGCCATAATTGTCCTTCACATGTCACTTTTTTACTATGCATTATGCAAATATGTTCAAATGTGTATAATATGTTTGCACAGACCTGCATGATGTGTTTAGGCTGTAACAGAAGTGATGTTTGCTCGTCTCCTGGCCCAGAGAGTCCCTGTGTATGTCTGTGAGAGGGTGTGCTGCTGATCAGTTTAAGGGCCTGTCGGGGCTTCAGCACTGAGAATGGGGGGTGTGTGCTCAGTCTGAAACTCAAGGCCATATCGGTATTGTTCTTCAGCTGGAACGTCCGAGTGATCATGGATTCCTTCTACACTTAAAAAATGGAAAGACAAAAATATCTAGCTAAACCCTCACACCACCAACAGGGACTGTCATAATTAACTTGCTTGTCTTTAATCTGGATACATATTGTTATTGACTGCACCTGTGTGTGAGATCTTCCGTCTAGTGCATCACTGGCAGCTGCAGTGAATTCCAATACCTCTGAATCCTCTGCCATCTGCACTGACAAACTACACACACCCACACACACACACACACAGTGATTACAAGTGTTCTGTTTTATTTATGTGTATGTAGTAAATATATGTGTATTAAACACATCTATAACTCACATGGCAGGTTTTACATTAGCCTGCATGTCCAGCCTCAAAGGTTCTAGTTCATAGCCCTGGGCTCTCTCTACTTTGTATTGAGTCAGTGACGCAAGCTACAAGATAAATAACATGGGTGGGTACAGGATGAAATGATCAGTAGTGTAAAATATATGGATTTAATTTCACACACTCACATACCTTAGAGTCCAGAGTCATGTAACCCAACGCATAACCCAAACATCTTTGATTGGCCGAACATGACAGGATCAGAGGAGTAAAAGACACGTGAATGGTGCTACTGCCCCCTGCTGGAACTACCTGTATTAAAGCACATATTAAATGCTTTTTTCCCCCCCATCAGACCTTCTCATCATTAATGTTCTACATCCAGATATGTACATAAAAAAAGATTTTAATGGAGACCTGGAACAGTGCTGATCCCCATAACCTACGGTTTGCTGTGGAGTGATGCAGTATGGGTAGTCAGAGACATTCCCTTCATGAGGCTTCAGAAACACAGAGAACAGCTTCTTCACTGGAGCCAGAGACACAGAAGCCCCGCTGCCCTCCTCTCCATCACATTCTTCCTCATTCTCTTCGAAATCATCCTATAAAACAGAAGAACATTTTTTTTCAATTAGTGAATTGAAAATGCACTTTTTGGATTGTGAACTGGATCTGTTTTGGGATGTTGTCATGAAAACTAAGGCTAGACTCACAGATTTGGTCATGAATGTCGAGCTTGTTCCTTCTCTGCTGGGGGTGTGGCTGTCATCCCATGTGGGCGGGAACATGACGGATGAGTCCAGCCCTCCAACAACCTCATTGCCATCTGCATCCTTCAGAGGAAAGGGCTCACCACATGCAACCAACAGATCTATCAACTTACTATCACCGACCTCCAGGTTGTAGGTCACCCAATCCAAACGGATATCTGAGAAGTTTCAGAAAATAACGTGATTTATGCAGCTTTGAAATAAAAGTTAACAAATCAAACGAGAATGTGAGAAGCGTTTGTAAACTTGATGTGGTGAACGGCTCACCATAAGGACTGGTGTTAATGAGCCGTAAAGAGCGTGACACGGTGTCTCCTCCAGAAACATGGCTTCCAAACCTGTCAATCATAAATATCAAGGAAAAATATTTGCATGTCAACTGCAACATCTAAAGTATCCTCTAAGAACACTGACCGTATAATTGGACCCTGGTTCTGATTGTCAGGCTGTGGTCCAATCATCTGAAAGTAAATGGGGCAGCCCCTCACAGACATCTGGATAGGAATGGGAGTTGGATCTAGATCTCCAACCTAAAAAATGTCATAAATTCATAAGAATTTATAGTAACAGCTGTTTGATTTGAGAAAGGCAAAAATATTTAGAGTGGAATTAAACGGTTTCATTGTTTTGTCAAATACATACCTTGCATATAAGATTGTCCTGATAATCTCCCCACATATTGGTGAAAGCAGTGATATTGATGGTTTGACTCTCAAATGGGCTGAGCATTCCGCTGTTTGGTTTAACAAAGAACGCTGCACCTCTTCCATGGGAAAGCAGACAGTTTACAAATTCTGAAAGCAAAGAAAATGCATGTTTGACTTTGGTGTTTCACTTTCTATGGTGCTAAAGAACAGAAAAGATTAGGTTGCACTGACCATCGTAAGCTTTCTGCTGTATTTTTTTGGCCTGGACAGAGTGGAGAGGTGCACTGCTCCTGAAAGAAAAGAGTTTCTTTATATTATATTAAAATAATAAAAATAATGACCCTCAAATATGATTTAAACTTAATTTATAAATCATTAAAAATGATATAATGTTATAATGCTATTCAACATTTAAAATGTTAATGTTGTATTTGAAATAAATGCTGTTATTTTGAACTTCCTATTCATTAAAGAAAAATGTATCATGGTTTTCACATAAATATTAAG